CCCCCCCCCCCCCGCCCCCGCCAGGCCAGCCTGTTCCCCCTCGCCCCCTCGCGTCTGCAGGGGCTGCAGGGGCTGAGGCGGTCACTCTGTGCCCTGGGTGTACTCATAGGTGGCACTCGCCTTGAGAGCCCTCTGGGGACCGTGGACTTTCTGGAAACCTATCCCGACATCCTTGGCCAGAGGTTCACGTGCTCCAGCGTCGAAGGCTGCCTGGACCCATCAGGTGAGCATGCTGTCTCCCTGTCTCCCTCCCCTCGTGACCCGAGGGAGCCAGCTGTGCTGCTGCGGAGGTGGAGGTGGGGGGTGGGAGGGGCTTTGATGGGTCCTGCCGGTGAGTCAGGCGCTGACCCTCCCCCTTGGGGTGAAGAGGGAGAGGATCTGGGTCCCGCCCCTGCCTCCCCAGGTAGCTGGGCTCCTGCCCACTTGGGACTGAGCCATCTTCACAGGAAGCTGGGGCCCTTTGGCCCAGGGCCTTTGCACATGCCAGCCATGCTGGCATCACCTCTGTGGCCCCCACCCTGCAGTGTCCTCGCCCCTCTCAGCCCTGCACACCCTCTGCCAAGAGCATTGGTCCCTGCGCTCATTTTGCGAGGCGGCAACAGCCTGTCTGGGGGCGGAGCCAGGCAGACCTGGTTCCTGCTCACACTTGGCTTTATGGTCCAATTGGGGACAGAACTGCACGGAGGAGCGGTGGGGGGGGTACTGTGTGGCAGGGACCCACGTGCTGGGCTTGGCTGGCAGGGACAGCCCGTCTGAGGGCTCAGTGACAAGGACGGGGCAGCCACGGGGGCTCCGCGGAGGGACGTGCTTGGCGGAGTGTGTGCATCGCTCTAGGGCTGAGGGGACACCGGGCCCTGAGCAAGAGAGCGGCTGAGGGTCTGTGTGTGCCGTGTGACGATTCGCTCTAAGATGTGCGGGCGGAGGCCACTCTGGCCACCGTGGGAGCAGTGGGACCTGAGAGAAGATGGCATCCTGGATGGGGGGTAGCGGTGGTTTGGGAGGGGGCAAAGAGTGGCACGACTCTGGTCCCGTCTCCGTCCCCTCCGTGTCCCCTCTTTGTCCCCGCGCTCCTCTGCTCCAGTACCTGGGCTCAGGGAGGTCCAGCGGTGCCTCTGCGGTGTAAGCGCAGCGCCCAGGGCCAGCCTGGCCCGTCCCCCCCCAGCCCCCGGCAGCGCCGGGAGGGGAGGGACTGGCACAGGAGCCGGCCTGGGACTTCTGCCCGAGCCTGCGCCCCCCGCCGGGTCCCACTCACTTTTTTGTCACATCCCATATCGAACACACGGTACCTGAAGCCGTGGCAGAAACGTCCCCGATCTCACCGTTGTCTGAGCAGCAGGCACCGTGTGCACCTGCTTCACTCCGCCACCCCAGACGCCAGTTTCTGCGCCCTCGGGGCTGCCTCTGTGGCTGGTGGTGAGGTGACCGCGGAGCCGCGTCTTGGGGGCTGGGACCTGAAGTGCAGCCCACCTACCAAGAGCGTGAGAAGGCACCTGGCCGCCTGTCTGCTCCCGGCCCCTGCCCCACCTCAGCCTGCTGGCCGAGATGTAGGACTGGGTACCTGACCTCTCCGAGCCTCAGTTTCCCTTGCAGCACACGGCAGGGATGGGGTCGTCTGCACGCTGCCGTAGTGCACTCACTGGGCACCCCTCTGGGTGGGACAGCTGCAGGGGAGCTCAGCTGTCCCCCCGCGGCCGCCTCCGCGGTGGGTCTCGCGGGTTTAGAGGAGCTCGTGTGGGGGCACCAGGAGTGGGGGCATGGGGAGAGGGCAGGCCACACCCAGACCCGGGCCGTGCCAACCAGCGAGTGGGTGCCCGTTGGCCAAGCCTTGCTTTCTGGGCGCCCTGGGGTCGGAGCCCCGTTTCAGAAGGGGAGCTCGGCCAGGAGACGGGGACCTAGCAGAGGCAGGGAGGTGGCTGGAAGGCGGCTGGCCGGCTGAGGGGGGCTCGCTGGGTGGAGGACCGGGTGAGAACAAAGCCCGGGGGGGGGTGTCAGGGAGGGGACATGTGATGACACTGGGGGACACTGGTGTGTCCAGAAGCCCCAGGTCCAAGAGATGGGCAGGAGCCAGGGTCTGGAGCCACCGGAACGCAGTGGCAGCGACCCTGGTGGGGACCGTGGGAGGGGCCGGAAACAACAGTCCCGTTCTGTCTGGACAAGGGGTGGGCAGGGCTGCGCTCCCTGCAGAGGCTGGGGCTGGGGGTCCGTCCTGCCGCCCCCAGCCTCCAGGGCCCTGGCTCTCCTGGGCTGAGGGTCACATGCTCCGTGTGTCCTCCACGCCCTAGGCCCCCCCGTGTGTGTATCCCCCCTCTGGCCCTGATAGGACACTTGCTGTTGCATTTAGGGCCCCCGCACTCCAGGGGGAATGTCTAGAGAGCCTTGGCTGACTACGCCTGCCTTCTCCTGTGAAAGACACTCGCGGGTTTGGGGTCAGGACGTGGGCCTGTCTCTTGGGGGTCCCCGTGGAGCCACCATGCCTGGCAGGACGTGGCACGGGCTCGGGGACAGCTGTGCAGAGGAGGCAGGAACCGGGGCTGCCGTGTGCGCCCGGCTCTGTGACTCCTGGGCCCCGTGCCTCAGTTTGTCTGCTCCTTCACGGACTTCTTAGTTGTGCAGAGGCGGGCGAGTGTCCGCGGCGGGGCCCCAGCGAGTGCCGCTGTCACCCCGGGAGTGGGCTGTGTGACGCAGGAGGGATGCAGGAGGGATCCCAAGCACCTTCGCCCAGGCTTTGGGGCTGGAGCTGGCATGGCCAGGTCCCCATGGGCCCTCCTGGGGGCTCTGCGCCAAGGGCAGCTCTGAGCAGAAGGCTCCCAGGCCCGGGGGGCTTCCGGCCCCTTCCAGCACCGGCCTGTCTGTCCACAGTCTGTAGTGGCACCTTCTCTCCCCCCTTAGGGCTCCTTGGGAGGAAAGCTCGTGGGCTGAGGCCCCGGGAGAGCCGGCGAGACCACCCCCTCCCCTCCCCCCCTCAGCTGCCCACTAGCCCCGGGGGGCCCCAGCCGTGCTGGCCAGCCACTTCCTCTGCCGCTCACCCGCCATCTCACGTCCGTGCCGATCCACAGTGACACTGAGGGTGTGCGCCCCGTCCCGCCACCCAGAATTTGCCGCCATCCCAAACCAGGTGTCACCCAAAGTGGCTCTGTGGCCCCGTGAGAGCCACAACGTGCCCTCGCCTGTGCCCGTCCCAGCCTGGGGCTGTGCCCTCCCTGGGCCTTCGCATCCGTGAACTGGACCCGCCTCGCGCTCTTGTCATTAAGGTCACTGTGTGCACAAGGCGCTCTCGGCGCCTCCTGCCCGGGTAGGCGCTCTGCACGCGGTTGCTCTGTTGTTACTTTTAGTTCTGTTTCTTGTTCTGCAGCCCCGCTGGCGGCGTACGAGTGGCTGGTGTGCTACCTGCTCCGAGAGAGTGCGCAGAAGTTAGATCGCGAGAAAAGATCGGGAAGCGGTGACTTCGAAGCGAGAAACAACAGCCAGGTGGGTTTGCTTTTAAAGTTGCTTTTGCATCGGTTTTGAATTTCTGCGCTGCCGTGTCCCCCAGAGCAGATGTCCTGCTGGCGGCCGGCCAACCCTCCTGCCCTGCGCCCCTGGTGCCCGACCGTCTGCACCTTGGTTTGCTGCAGGGACCTTGCTGGGCTGTGGGTGTCGTGTTTAAAGTGACCCGCGTCCAGAGCTGTCACTGTCGGAGCTGGGACGCTGGGCTGTGGGGCCAGGCCCGGCCCTGGTCCCTGCGGGCCGACCGGCAACAGCCTGTTGACCTCCGTGGAGTCCCGCTGGCCCCGCACTTGGTTTCCCTCAGGTTATCACTGCCCTTCTCAGGGAGCCTAGGTGGGGACGGTCCCAGGGTGGCTTTGGGTCTCGCTTTCGGTCGCGGCCAGCTCCCGTGTTCCGGAATCCACGGTGAAAGGCAGCCTGCTCTAAAACGCCTCCTCGCCTCCTTGCATCAGGAGCTAGCCTGTTGTGACCCAGACAACCCGTGTACCTGGAGTGAGGGGCGCTGCCTGGGAGGCTGTGCATGAAGGAAATAAGAAGTTTCTAGAACTGGTGGCATCCCCTCTCTTCGGTCTCGCCTTGTGAGGCTCTGTGTCCTTTGAGAGCTCGGCATCCCTGGTCTGCCTGCCCCCTGCACGTGCCCCCACCCCTCCCGTCACTGTGTGCCGGTGGCGTCAGCGCTTGGGCGAAGCGGCCAGAACCACAGCCAGTGGCGTCTCTGGGACCTGCCGGACACACCCGCCCGGTGTGGAGGGCAGGGAACGGGATGGCGTCTCGTCTGGAAAGGCCTGGAAGAATGAACCCAGGTCGGCCACAGGACTTCACAGAGGCCAAGTCAGCAGGTGGTCGTAGTTAGTAAACTCAGTATCATGGCCACCAAAAGCAGGTGGCGTGGAAGTGAGCCTTCTGCAGTGGCTGGGGCCACGGGCCACGGCAGGCTGAGCGGTCTGCACGCCGACGGCAGCACGTTGGCTTGTCCCTCGCCCCTCCCGTCTCTGCTGGTCAGGCCGGCGCTGCTGAGGTGACAGAGGTCCTCCGTCTCCGAAGAGCTGGGGGGCACAAAAGGCACGCATCCCCACTCCGGATTTCAGAGAGCTGCCCAGGGGTGGTGGGGGGTCTCCACACTGTCCCTCAGCCCCCGTGCCGGCCGGCCGGCCTGTCCCTGACACCCTGACAGCGGGCCCTGCGAGCAGGGGCACTGCCATTCAGAAATAATTTTCCCGTAGACCTTCGTTAAAGGTCACTCAGCTTCTCAGTGAGCAGCACGGCTGCAAAGGACAGAGAAGCCAGCTGACCCGCCTGGGTTCTAGGTCCGGCAGAGACGGAGTCCCTGGGGACAGCTGCTGAGCTGACCGGCCTCAGAAGCTGGGGTGCAGCTCGCGGAGCGGCTGTGAGGCCTGGAAGGGAGACAATGACCCACGAGCAGTCTGCTTTCCACACCTGGCCTGGGTCACGGAGCGTTTTAAGAGCGAGCACTGGGCCATTTCTGACAGCCGAGAGCCTCACGGCCTGGGCTGGATGCTCACGGGTCCAGGGAAGACACCGTCCCTGCCCGTCTGGTGACCAGAGCAGCAGGAGGGCGTGAGAAGAACATGTCAGGACGTGTACGCGGCCTCGGCGGGACGAGCCTTCGTGAGACAGGAAACAGAAGCCACGAAGGAGAGAAAACTGTCCAATCAGACAACGTACACTTGCACGTTCCTATGAACAAAGCAGCAGACAGACCACAGACTAGAGAACGTCCCCGGTAGGGGGAGGGTCCTCGGCCACGGAGCCGGCCCCTGGCCCGAGGCGGCAGGCACAGGAGTCACTGAGCCTGACCTAGGGCCTCGCAGGTTGAAGGACAGTAACCGACCGGCTGTGGAGGAGTGACCCTGCTGTGTCCTTGGGGGCAGAGACCGGCTGCTTCGTTAAAACACAGAACGAGCTTCGTTAAAACACAGAATGTAGGTTCTGTCTGCAAGCCGCCTGCACATAGGTTCTCAAATAGATGCGTTTGTTGCCTCTTTCAGCTGAGCACTCCCCTTGCGTGCTCAAAATGGGGAAACGTAAGCGGGTGGGCGACAGAGTCCCTCCTCCCGGAGCCCTCCCCCCCTCCCCCCCACCAGCCAGAGCATCTGCCTCGGAAATGCAGACGACCATGCTTTCCCCACCCGGCCACACGGGCTCCTTCCCCCGGTCCTCTCGTGCCATCCCCTCTGACGCGGAAGGAAACGAGGCCAAGAGAAGGGCCCCGGGTCACCCGGCTCAGCCGTGCCGTCCCCGGAGCCGGGCTCTTTTCCCCCGAACGGGTGTCCGAATGGGGACAATTAGGAGTTAGTCTTTCACCTGAAGTTTCCATTGTTCATTAATGTGCAGATGTCCTCAGCCGCAGGAGCGCAGCAGAAATGAATGCCTGGATCCGATTGGTTCATACGTCGTGGGGGAGAGGAGCCTGGCACGGGGGACCCCCGGAGGGGGAGAGGGCTAGGGGCAGGGGCCACCCCTCCTGACTCAGCCCCCCCCACCTCTGCCCACGAGGATGTCGACACCGCCCCGAAGTTTTGAGAACCGGAGATGTGTCTCAGGGGCAGATGTCCCTGGGGGCAAACTGAGCCGAGCAGCGAGCGCCCCGCAAGTGCAGAAGGCCTGGGGTGGGGTGGGGGTCCGGAGCCAGAGCCAACAGAAGCAGACCTGCCCCGGACCTGCCCGCTGGCTCACGGAGTCTCAGGGGCCACAGGCCTTCCCCGCCAGGCCGCGCCTCCCCGGACAGGCGTCCCGCCTCTCTGGCCCAGCGCACCTGCCGCCCCAGGCCCTGGGGCTGCCTGGCCGTCCAGACCCAGCAGGTGCGGCCCTCACACCATGGGCTCTACAGCTGTCACTGCACAGACTCTCAGGTGACACGCAGGGTGGCTGACCCCAGGTCCCAGAGCCGTGCGCGTAGACGCGGCCCTGCGGCTGCGGCGCAAAAGCAGCACCCACTCGTCATGACAGGTCAGGTGGGGCCAGTGTCATCTTTCTAGTTAAAAAGAAATCTGGTAAAATGATCGTGTGGAAATGGAGAAAGAAAAGCTAACGAGTCAAGCTAACGATAACCCGCGGGTACTTTGGTTGTTGAGTAAGAAAGAAAAACTCGGGTCCAGAGGCCTGCGGTGGCTTCCTGCTGTCACAGACCCAGCCGGTGTCCTCCTGCCGTTGACCCCAGCCGCGAGCGGCCCCAGCCTGGGTGCTGGTCAGCCGTTCCCGCGCTTCCGGGCAGATGAGTGAGCACGCAGGGCAGGGGAGGGAGCACAGCCTCACCCCGAGGGGCCGGCCTGTGGCTCCAGGCACAGAAGAGGACCGACTGCGTGCCCTGGCGCCTGCTGGGGGCGGAGGCACACTTGTGGCTGTGTGGCCACGCGGGGCCCGGCTGACCCGGCTTCCCAGAGGCCTCAGAGAGCGTAAACGCCGGCTTCAGGCCGGGCTGTCACCATCCCCAAGGCCAGGGGAGGGAGTCCAGGGCCTGGGAGCTCAGACCTTCGTCTGTCTTCCCGAGGGCTCTTCCACCGGAAACCGCGAGCTGCAGCCGGAGCCCTGGCCGCCTGCTCACGGGGGCCGGGGCTCCGTGCCCTGCTCTGTTCAAGGTGTACCACTGCCGCAGCCTGGCCCTGGCGTTCCTGGAGCTCACGGCCGTGCGGAGTTTCCACGAGCACGTGCACCAGCCCAGCGTGCCGCCCCCCCTGCGCGCCGTGCTCCAGCAGCTCAGCGCTCTCTACGCCCTATGGTCCCTGAACCAGCACACGGCCCTGCTCTACCGAGGTGAGGACCCTGCGGTGGCCCAAACCTGCCTCCCTCCCTGCCCCGCCCCACCCCTGCCCTGCCCAGGAGCGCAGCCTCCTTCTGTCCAGGAGAGTGGCCATCACAGGAGCTCAGACCCCGTGGTAAGAAAAGTGGCATCAGGACAGTGTCAACGACATAGTTTCCCTTTCATTAAGGTCCCTTTGAAGTCCGTTTCCAGGCCAGAGAATATTTCCAGAAGGCCCACATTAGCCGGACAGGGAGCTGGTCTGGACAGAGCTGGAGCCCACCCCTCCAGTCCCATAGGTCCAGATAGACACGAGCCCGGGCAGCGGGAGGAATGCCTAGCCTGTGGGCCCAGGAGGGCTGCCTGGAGGAGGTGGTGTGTGGGCTGATTCCTAGGAGATTGGGGAACGTGGGGGAAGGCTGAATTTCTCAATCTGTTTTCATTAGTGTTCTTTTCCTTTTTTTTTTTTTTTAATGTTTTGTTTATTTCTGAGAGAGAGACAGACAGCGTGAGCAGGGGAGGGTCAGAGAGAGAGGGAGACAGAGAATCCGAAGCAGCTCCAGGCTCTGAGCTGTCAGCACAGAGCCTGACACGGGGTTTGAACCCATGAACCGTGAGATTGTGACCTAAGCCGAAGTCAGACGCTTAACTGACTGAGCCCCCAGACGCCCTTGTTAGTGTCCTTCTAAGGAGCATCTTGAGACTTTGCCCAGCCTCCCTCGGGACGTGTTAATGCTGCAGATCGCCTGCGCACCTGTAAGCGTCCTGTGCGTGCATCCGGCCTGCTGCGGAGCCAGACCGTGTGCCCTGCTCCCTCGTCCAGAGCCGGGGTCCCCCTCCGGGGCTGGTGTTGCCTCGCGGAGGCTGTGAGAGCGCACGCGAGGCCCACGGAGGGGACAGGGGGCTCGGAGGGCGGGGCGAGTACAGGGCAGGGGACCATGCACTTCAGGCACGACTCCCAGTGATGGGCAGCTTTCATCACGAAAGTCAAATGAAAGAGTCTGCAGCCAGCGTGCCCTCAAGTGCCCAGGCTGCGTGCTTGGCCCGCCGGGCAGCACAGCGAGCCCGCCGTGGTGGTGGCCGCGGCCTCCTGGCGCGTGTGCACTGATGGGGCGGGGGCACGGCAGGGGGACCTCAGAGGACGGGGCGCGGGGCCCACGTGGGCCAGGGCCCCTGGGCCCCGTGTGACCGGCCCTGTGCTTGCAGGCGGCTACTTCGCTGGTGAGCAGCCCGGTAAAATGATCGAGAACGCCATCCTGGGCTTGTGTTCCCAGGTGAGTCTGCGGTCACCCTCCTGAACATCCACCCGCGTCACGTGTAACCGCAGCCCAGAGACGCGCACGCTCGTGTGCGTGCAGTGTGGGCGAGAGCAGGAAGGTGTGCTCACGTCAGAAACCGCAGGGAGTGGTTTTCAGGGAGTTTCCTAGAACCTGGACTCTGATGCGCTTTCCTACAGCTGCGCTGGTAATTCTCTGGAGCCTTCCAGGGTGCTCAGCCTCCAGCTTCATTTCATTTCATGGGTTATTGATTGATTTAGTGCACGTGGGCGAGCGGGGGAGGGGCAGGGAGAAGGAGACGGGGGTCCCAGCAGGCCCCGGGCGGTCGGGGCGCCGCAGAGCCCGACCCGGGCTGGATCCCACGAGCCGTGTCCACGTGTCCCACGAGTCTGTCGGGGCCGGGTCCTCATTCTCACTCGGGAGGCCCGGGTCAGGCAGGGCGCGGGGCACCGGCCGGTCCAGCGGTGCTCACGGGTGTCGTGGGTGGGCGTGCGGCCCCGGCAGCAGGGCGCGGTGGGACGGAGACCCCACGGTCCCCGGGCGGACCGTTTCCCGTCTGCCGTCACGTGCAGGCTTGCTGCCCTTGTCTAGATGGGGCTGCGCTCCGATGACGCCCCCGCCTGGAGCGGGCGCGCTGTCCACCTGCGGCCCGAGCGGCAGACGAGCCGGAGTGCTGAGGAGCAGCTCCGAGCCCCAAGGGCATTGTCTCCTCTCCCTGTGGGCTCATACTCCGGGGGAGGGGGCTGAGGGTGCCCCGCTCCGGGGCCCCAGGCCGCGCAGCGGTGACCCCTCGCTCAGAAAAGACATTTCTGCATTTCAAGAAAATTCTCGGCAGCTTCTCACGTAGATTCCGCGTGTCCGGCTGATGATGACTCCCACGGGGGTGGGGGGACCGTGGAGCCGCTGTGCACCACACAGCCTTCCCAGGCCCCATAAGCACCTCATCCGTCACATTGTTTCCTCTGCCGCGGCAGCCGCTGCCCACGAAGGTCAGGGTTCAGCCACAGGCCTCTGAGCCGCCGCGCTGCAAACCAGTCAACACGCTGTGTCCTTGAGTGACGAGCGACGTGGTGAGAACCTTCAGACGTGCCCTCAGGGGCCTGCAGCCCGGGCATGAGAGGAGGACGCGTTACTGGGCGAGCCGCGCACACGCCTGCTGCGGTCACGGTGGCCAGTGGGTCGTGGCGCAGGACGGCCCCAGGCTCTGTTTCTCTGAGGTCGCCATGGAGATTCCGGGGGTTGCCAAGTGTACGCGCTCTGTTTTCCAACAGCTGAAAGATGACGCCATTGCCCTGGTGGACGTGATCGCCCCTCCCGACTTTGTCCTGGACTCACCGATCGCCAGAGCCGACGGCGAGGTGAGCGCGGCCATCCCCCAGGGCCAGGTGGGAGCGTGAGCGGGGCCGCTCCGAGGGCCCATGGTGGTTACTGCCAAGCCCAAGATGGTGACAGGGGCCTGGAGCACCCTGGCGCCCTCTGGGAAGTTGTCACCCTCGGCCAGCAGTGGAGGGAAGGCGCCAGGTCAGCAGCAACCCCTGTGAAGCCCTGGTGCTCACACCGCCGGGGGGCCCGTTCCCCATGCTGGCTCCTGGCCCCTTCTGTCAACCAGCCACTCAACTGGCCATGTCAATGCATGGGCGTCGCGGAGCGCCAGGACATGGTGTCCTGCGGGGCCCTGAGCACCCGGGCGGCTGACGCCTTCGAGCCCTATGCCCACGTGCCCGCCCTGCAGAGGCAGCTCAGCTCACGAGCAGGGGTGCAGCCGGTGCCCAGGGGCGCATGCCCACGGTGCGGGGACTCTGCGGTGGGAACCAGAGCTGCCCGAGGCGGCAGCTGATGGGAGGGGGCAGTTTCCGTGCGCACATCTGAGCCGGGCACTGCCAGGTGAGACGTTCGTCTTGAATGAATGGGCACGGCTGCCAGAGGCTATTTAAGACGATGGTCCAGAGATGCCCAGGGCTGCGGACTGCCGGGCGCGCCCTGTGCGGAGGAAGCGAGCCTGAGGGTCTGTCTGGGCGGGGGCAGGGCAGGCTGTTGCAGGCCAGTTGCAGGTGCTTCATGAAAGTTAGAGTGGTTGGCCCCAGCCAGGCACGAAATAGGTTCCTCGTCTCCGTGGACTGGAGGTCAGCCTGGGGGCCGGGTTTGGGGTGAGTAAAGGACCAGCCACCAGCTCCTGCGACGCCCACGGCCTTTCCTCCGGGACAGCAGCCGCTCTCCTTTCCCGGGGGCTGCCCGGCGGGAAGCAGTTGAGTGTGGAAGTCCTGGAGGAGGCGGCGAGCTGGCCCCAGGGAGATGGAGGGGGACAGAGAGGGACAGCGCATGCCAGGCTCCCACCCACGGGGCACGTCAGGGCCGACGGCTGGCGCACTCGTGCAGAGTCCGTGCAGGCCGCCCCCTACAAGAGTCCCCCGAGACAAGGGTGCATGTGAAGCGGCCATCATAAACGTGTTCCGCCCTTTGCTTTCAGTTAGAGAAAAAGATTTCTGTGAATTCAATCACCCTAAAATTTTCTAGAAAGTGACAGAACGTCCTGTGGTTTCAACAAAAGCTAACGAGGGGGTTGCGTCTGGCCCCTCGGCCGCTCTAAGAGATCTTGCTTCTTGCTCACGTATGTGCTTACCGTTTGCAGCTGTACAAACACATGTGGGCCACTGTCCTTCAGGAGAGCGGAGTTCTGGAGCGGCCATCATGGTGGCCCGAGTTTTCCGCCACCAAGACCCACACGGGAAGTCTGAACTCGAAGCTGTAGAAACACCGGCGCGTTCGGCTAAGTCTGAGTACACTCATTCAGCTGATGGGAATCTGACCTCAAATTACAGTTCCGGAAGATACTAGAAATCACCACCACTTTCTGAACGCACGTCTGCCAGTCCTGTGTGGTCCCGCCTCCCGACTGCACCCGGGGGGCTCAGCGGGAAGAGGCCACCGGGCTCACAGTCTGAAGGGAAGCTCTGTGTGATCACCTGTGCCTGGGGGACTGTTCCTGTGTTTGATCATTAGGACGTGGCCCGTGCTGTGTCCACACGCCGAATGGGAGGCTGGCTGCTCACGGTTAGAGGTTAATGATCTTTCACATTCTGAGATTTTCTACAAAGCTCTGCTTCACTGAATGCTTGGTGGTGCCAGTCTGACGCTCTCTAACTAATGCAACCTCACCATGAAATTAAACTCTTATCTTAATCATGCCTGAATGATGTAATGTAAGATGTTTTAGGAGAAGCAAACCCACTTCCCGACTTCCTTATGTGAAAATAGAAGTTTCCATCAAGGAAACGTTTCCAAAGAAACAAGATGCGCGACGCTGGTCAGGTCGGTGTGAAGTCCTGACCCGCGGGCCGCGTGCGCAGTGCCTCCTGGTGCCTGCCGCCGGGGCGTGCGCTCCGCAGCCAGCGCTGCCCGGACCTCCCGGTCTGTGCGTGAGCGCGCACCCCTGCCGGCGGGCCCAGGTCAGGTTGCCGGCCAGCCGCCCGGCTCTGTGTGTCCCGGCTCCAGAGAACGGCTTCGGGGGCCCCTCTCCGTGTCTGGGGTCTGCTTGGTCCTGACGAGCGCAGCAGGCACACAAGACCCAGGTGCCCGCGGAGCCCGAGCTGGTACCACGCGGATGAGGACAGGGTCTGACCTTCCCGAACAGCCCGGCGCGCCCCCAGGCACCCTGACTTCCAGCTTCGGAAATCACCGGAGCGGTAGCCTGACTCTCAAACCTCGGACGTCAGGCCTAGGAGAGTGGGCCTCCGCCCCACCCCCGACCCCGCAGGGCTGCCAGGAGCACGTCAGTGGGTGACGGGCGACGTGGTGAGCATGCGCCGCACACAGGGGTTGGTCATCCGCACCTCCTCGGACGCTCACGCAGCCGTGGGGGGGAGTCCCGTTACCGTGCCCGCTTGACCGAGGAGAACGCTGAGCCCCAAACACCTAAAGCACTGCCACGGGCCAAACGTCTAGGAAGTGGCGGGGCTGGCTGTCCCCACACCCGTGACCCAGCCTGGGGCTGGCACAGAGCAGGCTAGTGTCAGTGTCCTGCTTTTAACCAGGGAGCGATCTCACCCGAATTTAATGTATCTCCCAGTTGGGGGTTTCCACCTGTGGCCCGAAGATGCCGTCCGGGACTGGGTGCTGCATCCAGGGACACGACTGGGCTCTGGTGTCACGCGTGCAGGTTCCCCTCACAGAAATGGGGACTTTCCTGCTCAGAGCCGTGCCTCACACACTCCCCTGTCGAGCAGCACGAAGGTACAGGAGGCGCAAGCCTCCCAAGGGACGCGGACGTTAGGGTTTCTGCTCCGAGCAGCCCTGCGCACGGGTCCGCCCGGGACCTCGATCGCTGGGACCAGCACTTGGGGGTGGGGTTCCTGATACCACGCGGAGTCACAGGCCGGCTGGGTGGACGCACATGGAAATGAGAGCCTGAAGAAGACCATAAAAACCCGCCACGCCCCATCATCATTTGTGGGAGCCCAGTGACATCCTGGGATTGAGGCTTCGTGTGGCCACCACGGTGGCTGCTGGGCCCTCTGTTATCACAGGATGTGTCATTGACGTTTGGTGGCCGTCACTTTTGATGTGCTCCTGAGAGCCTGGCCTCCGTTGAGTCACCTTTGCCCCAGTCTTTTCTGTCCCCTCAGGATGCCCCTTCCGCGCAGTGCGTGCACCCAGCACCCAGCCGCACCTGCCGCCGCGCAAGGGCCACGGCCGTGCTAAGCGCGAGCACCCTGTTCCCAAGGCCCCTCCTACGAGACTCGGCGCTCACAGCTGCTTGGACGTCCCCCAAACTCCGTGGGGAGTGTGTCCCGCCAGACAGTGGGCCCTGTCAGAGACACGGGCCACACAGCTTCAGGGGGTGGCCTCCAGGCACGTGGCTACCTGACGGCTCAAGGCAGGCGACCTGGGCCGACAGACCCCACACGGGGAGCGCAGCGTTAGAGGGGCCCCTCGGGCACCTGCAGGACAGCCCTGCTCGGTGGCTCCTGGCTACATGTGTGCGAGGTCCCCTCTCCACGGGGGGCGGGAAGACGTCCTCAGTCTCCGCATCAGGGACTCCTGGCTGCGTGGCGCAGCCCAGCGATGCCGCGCAGCCCCTGGTGCGTGTTCACGTTCGCCCCACAGCCACCTGCTACCACTGAAACTTCTGTGCGGTCGGCTGTGGGCACTGACCCTGAGTCCGGGGGTCCGTGAGGCCCTGCGAGAGCCCAGGGCTCCTGTCGGCCGCCAGGAAGGCTCCCCTGCCCCCTACCCTTCAAGCGCAAGGACTGACCTCAGCTCGGTCCTATCTCGCTAGACTGCCCAGCGGCCCGGGGAGGTGGCCCAGCGCTGAGAGCCCCCGAGGAGGGCGCGCGAGCACGGTCACCGCCTTCGCACGCCTGCTCGTAGGCCCAGGTCTGCCAGTCTCTTGGGCAAGGAGGCTCACGTCATGCTGAACTGTTTACTCTGTGAGAGGAAACTCGAGTCTGTGCTTACAAAAGCCGGAGGCTCGGGCGTGAAAACAAGACGCCAGAACGGGGCACGTGTCCCGGGTGCCTGGATCTGGTTTGCAAACATTCCAGACATCTCTCGAGGTGCTTCATGTTCGCCCCTAAGCAAGGCTTGCGTAAACACAGTTCTCAGGACCGTTTTCTTCGGGCATCGTCCTTGAGCGCCCTAGCCAGACGTTCCTTCCGGCGGGCTGGAGAGGGCGGTGGCGGCTTCTGCAGAGGACCGGCTCCGCAGGTGGGTCCAGGCTCAAGGCCCGTGCAGTCGCTGGCCGTGAAGCTGTGGGCTGCCTCAGTTTCCTAAGCATGTTTGCTCCTTTGTGAGTCACGATGCCCGTTTCTGGCGGCTGATGAATTACCGTGTCGTGTAGCCCCAGGCCTGCGGAAGGTCCGCAGCTCACTGACCGGGACCCCCGTGACTGGGCGCTGTGACCAGTTGTCATGTGCAGAGGCTGAGGACCACGACCCCTGTTAGGGGCCTGGGTTCTGGGGAGAACGGGGTAGCCGGTGACCCTGGGGACAGCGGAAGGGCCGTCCCTCGGCCCTTACAAAGATGCCAGGAAGGGGAGTGACCACGTGTGGTCCTACCAGCCGCCCGCACGTGCCCAGGGGCCAGCTCTGCCCTTAGCCTCCAGCTCCCCCACCCCCACCCCCACCTCGGAGGGTCTTTTCCAGGGACCAGGGTCATGTGGCTCCAGGCTGGCCCTTCTCTGGGAATCCTGGGCCTGCACAGAGGGCCACCCTTTGGGAGAGCCCTGGTTACGTGCTCTTTGTCTCTGTGTGGGTCCCTCAGCACCAGCCATCAAGGGCCAGGGGCCCAGTGGGCATTTCACTCCATTCCTGGGTGCTGCCTGCGGCCGGCCGCTCACACAACTTTTCAACCCCAGGACAGCCCTGGGCACCACACCTGACCTCGCTCTCTGGGTGCCATTCCTTGGGGTTTCCGTGTGGATGTGGGTGGAGTATTGGCCACAGCCTTGCTTCCCACTTGGCGTCACAGCTACAGCGGCCCGTTACGTTAGCCAGAAATGACTCCATGACATTCCTCCTTCACCACGATGTAGCCCAGGATTCCCTGGAAAACACTGACTGGTTTGTGGTCAGTCTTCCCACCAGTCCGGAAGCTCACTGAAGTCAAGGATTCGATCTGAATCCTCTATGGCCTTCAGCACCCAGCACAAGACCACTCATGGGAAGTGCTCGGCGAGCACTGAGGGGAGGCATGGATGGACAGATGGGTGAGTGGGTGAGTGAATGGGTGATGGATGGGTGGGTGGGTGGATGGGTGAGTAGTAGCAGGATGGATAGATGGGTGGATGGGTAGGTGAGTGGGTGCAAGGATGGATGGGTGAATGGTGGATGGTTGGGTAGGGGAGTGGATGGATTAATGGATGGATGGATGGGTGAGTGGTGGGGTGGATGGGTGGGTGGAGATGGATGGATGGGTGAGTGGTGGATGGAGGTGTGGGTGGGTGAGTGGTAGATGGATGGGTGGATGGAAGGATGGGTGAGTAGTAGAAGAATGGATAGATGGGTGGATGGGTAGGTGAGTGGGTGAATGGTGGATGAATGGGTGGGTGGATGGGTGAGTGGATGGGTGGATTGATGGATAGATGGACGAGTAGGTGGTGGGTAGATGGGTGAGTGGATTGATGGATGGATGGGCAGATGAATGAATGTGTTAATGAAAAAGATGAATGAGTAAATACATGAATGAAATGAATGAATGAGTGATTTGGGTGGGTCTAGATATTGCAGAGGGAAGGAGGACCATTTTGGCCCCCCGCCACCTTTCCAGCTCCAATGCAGGCTGCAACTCCTGGTTAGCCCCCTGGGTGGGGCTGCCTCCCCTCTGGACCCTGTGACCAGGGACAGGAGTCTTGCTGAGCCCCGCACAGAGCCCCGCCCATCAGGGGCTGGGAGGAGGGAGGGGTGAGCAGAGGGGTGGACACACCCTTCACCCCAAGGACGGACGGAGTCCTGTCTCCAGCAGGCACACCCTGTGGGCAGCCTCAGAGCTGATACTGGAGCCCGAGGACTAGACGGAGCTCAAGAGCCAGTGAAAACTCCAATTTTCATCTTGCAATATCACTGCAGTTGAAATTCTTTAAAAATCACCCCAAGGAGAAAAGTATAAGTCGCGGTTCTCCAGTCCTGTTAAGTGAACAAATGCTGTTTCCGGAGATGCTCACTGGCCGGTTGCAGTGACGGAGGACTTTACGGCATGCAGGTCTGTCCCCGTGGAGAATAGCCTGCAGGTGACAATGCGGGATGAGGTTTCTGAGCACAGACTCCTAACGTGCCCAAGGGGACTGCAGTCGTGCCTGCTCGGCCCCTGCCACAGGGTGCTGACCCTCCCTGGGCCCACGTGCGGGAGGGGACCGGCTGCCACGCAGGGCGAGTGGAGGAGGGGAGCTCAGCGAGGACTCCGAAGTCCCGGGTCTTGTGGCCCTGGTGCTTCCAATCTCAGCGTTTATGCCCTCCTTCCCCGAAGTCACAGCCACCCACGGTGTTACGGCTGACCCGTGTCCCCGCAAATCTACACGCGAAGACCTCACCCCCAGCACCTCACAGTGTGACTGTGTTTGGAGATGGGGACTTTACGGAGGTGATGATGGGGTCACATGGGTGAGTCCTGATCCAGTGCAACAAGTGTCCCCGTACGAAGAGGAGAGTAGGACACAGACGTGCGGAGGGACGGCCGTCGACACGCCAGGCAGAGTGGC